TTTTCTGAGGCTGGTTCAGGGGAGCAAGACGGTGATGTAGTACAAGGCAGAGTTTACTGCCTTAGCCCGAAATGCTCCACAGCTAGTGAGTACTTCTGCTGAGAAGTGCTACCGATTTCTGAGGGGACTATAAGACAGTCTGAGGTAGCCTCTGGTACCCTTTCACATTTCTGATTTCTCTGAGCTTGTGGAGAGAGCTCGTCTAATAGAGAACGATCTGATGGCTACTCAGCAGTAGTGGACTACGGGTAGGAAGAGATTTGGGGGTGATTCGAGTAGCAGTTCCTCTAGCAAGAGGAGGTTTGTTTCTGGTTCTGGAGACTCTAGGAGGAGTGGAAAGTCAGGATTTGTTGGTACTGCTACGACCAGTACGACCAGTTCTGGATCTGTTAGTGGGGCACCTGTGTGCTAGAGTTGTGGACGATGATATTTTGGCCAGTGCTACAGGATGATTGGTCAGTGCTTCAGATGTGGTCAGCCAGGACATCGGATTGCAGAGTGTCCACAGGCTGGATTTGATCGACGATCTGATTTCTGATCCGAGAGCTTTGTTAGATCTGCCAGTTCAGCAGGAAGACCGAGGACTGTTCCTCCATGCCCTGTGAATGAGGGATTTTTTGGTAGAGGTGGTGGTTCGAGTTCTGCACCACGGAGACCACCTACTGTTCAGAGGGAACCTAGTAGCTCTGTTGCTTCAGCTCCAGCTCCAGTTCAGCCACGAGTGTACAGTCTGAGTCAGCAGGAGGCTCGAGATGCTCCGGATGTGGTGACAGATACGATTTATATTTCTGATCAGCCCTATCGTGTTTTGTTTGATTCCGGAGCCAGTCACTCATTTTTGTCCGAGCGTTGTTTTGATGCTTTGCATCTGGATTCGGTTTTGCTTCCGGTTTCTCTTTCTGTGATTTTGCCGGCTGGAAGTAATTTGATTGCTTGGAAGTTTTGTTTTTGTGAGCTTGAGATTGCTGGCAAGAAGTGGAAATCCAGTTTGATTCTGTTGCTGATTTCTTCGTATGACGTGATTTTGGGCATGGATTGGCTGAGTCTGTATGAGGCCCAGATTGACTATTTGAGGAAGCAAGTAAGTTTGCTTATGTCAGGAGAGAGATGTGTATTCTAAGGCTTATGAGGTGTTCTCTCTTGTCTGATTTCTGTATTGGAAGTGAGAAGAATGTGGAAGAAGGGTTGTCCATACTTTTTGGCTTCGGTACGGGATATGAACCTGGATGTTGGTTATGTTTCTGATATCCCAGTGGTACGAGAGTTTGCTGATGTATTTCCTGAGGAGTTGGTTGGTTTACCTCTGTTAAGATAGTTGCTATTTGCATGCTTTTCATTT